AACAAGGGGGTAATAATTTTTTTTTTTTAGTTAAATGTAAAAATATATAGTGCTTTAAAATCAATTTAGACGCTGTTTGTAATTGTAATTGTAGTTTTTTTAACGAGGCCTGGATTAGGCCAGCTACGCGCCTAATCCTGATACGAATAGTCTCAGGCCTAATCCTGAGGTTTTTTTTATTATTTTGATTTTGATTGGGGGGTCCTAGCCTAGGGCCCCCAGGACCCCCCCCCCTGGCTACGCGCTCGATAGACATAGATATAGAATACAGATTCTGTATAAAATCTGTATAGAATACAGATCTGTATTCTATATCTATGGCTGTATCACTATCAGTGTCACTAATACACTATCACTGATATCGCTATTATGAAATTAGGCGCTTCATTTGTGGTGCAACTGTAGGCTGGTCCAGTTTACCGAACAGAGAACGATAAAGTGCACTTCAACACACTGATTGGATGATTTCTGTATCATGGTGGCTGGTGTGACCCAAATAAATTTTCATCATTTTCTACCAAGCAGGGTTAGCAATACCTGTGTGTGCCCTTATCACACCCAGAAATGTGTGGGACACTGGCATATATCACTATTAAATTGTAAAAACTTGGTATTCTTAGGGTAATGTGGCTTTTTAAAATTCTATAATTATTTGTTTCTACTTTTTCATTATTAAAATAGCTTAGCCTGTCTCTTATTTTTTCAGTCATTGATGGAAGTATTGGCCGGCATCAAAATAAGGATATCAGGTGACATGTTTGGTCAAGGAGAAAGTAACCTGATCATAATGAATCATCACACAAGACTGGATTGGATGTTTCTGTGGATGTGCCTAATACGTAGAAGTGAAGTCAAACAGGAGAAAATCATCCTGAAGTCTGTTTTAAAACTTATTCCCGGTGCTGGTAAGTCACTAACCATTTAATCTATTCGGTCTTGATTGTGACATTTATTATGATTTTTAAGTGCATATATACCTACGTTCATCATTTTAAATTATGTTTATTGCCGTCTGCAAGCATGTGTGCACAGGGGTTATATCAAGAGCTGATAATACCTTATTGGCTCTTGGTTATGTTTGTTTTACCAGTGTTCAATTTCCATATTTCCTAATCTATTTATATGTAGGAATTGAAAATATGGAAATATATTTTGGGCAATAGACTCTATTAGGCGATTAGTTTATTTTCTTGAACTTATGTGTATAAGTGGTTTCTTCATCTACTTCCCAGGCTGGGCAATGCAGACTGCATGTTATATCTTCATTGAACGGAAATGGGAATATGATAACAGGACATTTACAAAACTCCTTGACTACTTCCGAGAAGCCAAGGTTACGAAACCACAGGTATAGGGCTAGGATTCATTAAATCTAGAATGATATGGTCAGATTCATATAGTTGACAAAGGCAGTTGTCTAAACCTCCAAGATACCACACAAATCGAAACGGTTTCAGCTGCAGCATTTATGTTTCGAACGTAGGGAGAGGGCAACCAGAAAAGATGGTGTTGCAACAAAACTGGAGGTCAAGGGTCAACAGGCAAGAACAGGGAAGGGTAAGAAGGTGGCATGAAATTAAGTTTTTGATTGATATAATTCTTGTTTTGCACCTTAGTTATCAGGGAACCATCTCAAATTTAAGCAATAGGTGTGTATCCCTGTCTTCAGCTACATTTCAGTAAAACTTTTCAATCTGTTTATCACTCGACCCTTTATATATTAATTTTGGTGGGTGTTTTCCCCATTAAGGGATCGAGGAAGTCCAGAGATGCTTCAAAAAGACAAGACTGGTTGTCTAAACTCTTGTTTGAGTCACCTACTTTCTTCTAGTGAATATCTCGGTCAACTGTCAGAAATGCTTGAAAATGCGAGACTGGTTGTTGAAACTCGTTTGAGTCAACAAATCAAACAAACCAATTATTTGAACCATATCTTATCTACACTTCGATAACTAGTATTTTTGTGTTGGAAACATTTGGTGCTTGTGTAGGCATACTGTTACTGGCTGTGTGGTTATTCTCTTGCTTTGCTGTATGCGTGTTTGTATGTCATATCTTCTTGGCAATGCAGTTTTTAATATATACTCAACTTTGTTCCATATTCCTGGCTTATTGAGAACATTTTAAGATGTTTTCAGTAATTTCAAGTTTCTTTAGCACTGTAATCATGTCTACAGCTAGTATATATCCAAACAAAGTTGTGGCATGTGGATGTCTGGTTATATATAATATTTGAAGTAATAATAATTTAATAAGTAAATTAAACGTGCGTTCGGTAAACTAGATTTGCATATCGGGGCATGAAATCTATTATAACAGTTAAATTGTGTTGTTTATCTTAAATTATCATAGTAAACAAGTCTGTACAATGGTGGCAGGCATTATTATTATATTATGGTAATTAGCTTGTTTTTTGTTCAGATTCTCTTGTTTCCTGAAGGAACTGATTTCACAGCTAAGAACAAAGCCAGAAGTGACGAGTTTGCATGCCAGAATGGTCTCCCTCTTTATGAATTTGTGCTGCATCCAAGAACAACTGGATTCGTTTTCCTTGCAAGTAAAATGAGAGAAGGTAACCCTTCTTTTGCTAATTAACATTCAACCCGACTTCATGGTTTACTTTGCTCAATTCTACTCGTGAATAATTGATCATCTCGAACTAGTTATCAGTTAAATTTAAATAACAATTTGCAGGTTGTAACGTTCAACTCAGTAACTCAGATTTTAACCTGGTAATTTAGTTATGTATCACTTTGCATAGGTGGCATGCTTAGTGCAGTATATGATATTTGTATCGGCTATCCACAAACTCGACCTCAGAATGAAATGGACATACTCTACGGGAAATTTCCGGAAGATATCCATTTCCACATAAAACGTCATCCCGTCATAACCCTTCCGATCGGAGACAAAGGTGAGTTAGCATGACTGTTCATAGCCGTTTTGCTGCCTTCCTTTTCATTACATAAAATTGTAACTACAGTCAAATCCGTGTAATTAAGCACCTCTAAGGAATGAGCACCTGTCTATAAAGAGAACTCTCATGGGGGATTTCCTGTTAGTGTCAGTTATGCAGTAGGACCACATCTGTGTAATTAACTAAAAATGACACTTTATGGGTTTCCATTGAATGCCCTTTACATACAGGTTTCTCTGAATCCAGGTCATACACGTACAAGGATAGTCTATATTTCGTGTAGTAGAAAGAATTAACACCACCTGCCTCCGCGGATGATATTAATAATGGTGGCGATGCCGTGACTTAACAATAAAAAAGCGGGAACGCTGCCATCTTGAAACGCTAGATAACTGGATGTTGTTGTCATCGGAACATCCTGCAAACCGAACGCGAACATACCAATGTATGTACGAATGAACGTACGAATGAAGGCACGAGGCTACGATTACCATTCATAACCGCCACGACTACACATTCGCAGGCTTGCAGGAGTGGTGCGAACTGCGTTGGAGGGACAAGGAGGCCATGCTGAAGCGCTTCTACGCAGAGAGGCACTTCACGGAGACGGCGGCGGCGTCGAGCGGCCGCGATCGCGACGTTCGTCTGCTTCTTCGCTTCTGCTTTGTGCTGTGGACAAGCCTGGTGGTGGTGTGGCTGGCCTTCCTTCTGTACTCGTCCGTCGCGCGCTGGTACGCTCTCACTCACTGTGTTCTCTTCTACGCCGTGTACTGGTGGAATGGTGGGATGGAACATCTCGAGATTTCGATTTTTAACTGGTGGAAAAGTGTGTGTCAGTGAAAGGTTGCGCGATTGACAGCATGTTGATTGTTTATTGAGTCTTAACGTGCAAGCACGCGTGATTGCCTGGGGTAAATGACTTCGGTACGAAATGTATGGATTAAACCCTTAGTCAAAACAGCATAGCACAACAGCGAGCACAGTTAGTGAAGATTGATAAGGTTCTGATATTATGAGTGAGTTCACATGCAATGCGATGCAATGCTAGCATTGAAGTGGATGTTTGCACTAGGCGTAATCTCCTTTTCAACTTCTGTATGCTAGACATGGTTGGAAATGGATAAATAGAGGCACACAGCAACTATCTATTCATGTAAGACAATGCGAAGTATCGGAACATTAGAAAATATAGTGCCTGAAACTTAATAGGATTTCTCTAGTGTATGATCGATACATTTCTATGCAGCACATGCAATAGTTCCGATACAAGTTTAGTCTCCAATATGGACATGATATTAGATGCAGGAACACAATTATTGGTTACCAATAGATTTATCTTGGCTAACGATAGTTGCATGTGTGAGTAGGATCTTTTATTATCCAGTGGACAGCCTTTCGGTTGTGAATTGATTTCTCCCAGTTAATTTGTGTGCTATGTACTGGTGTATGCGAATTCGGTTAATTTTCATCGAACTAGTCACCAGCATAACTAGATATATTTTTTATTATTTGTGCTACAAATGATAAACGACTGGAAAGAGCAGGGAAAAAACTGGGAAGCCGTTTCAAGCCACTCCCACATAGCTACCCCTAATTTGTTTTGATCACCCACAATAGATATTGAATATTATTCGCTGATACACTTTACATTTTATAAAATGATTTTATATGATATTTATAGAGTCGTGATATTTTAATAGTGAAGGAAGTGATTTTGTCAGGAGGCTTAATGCATGAGTGATAGACTATAGATACAATAGTCACTTGAGAAAACCTGATTCCGAAAAAAGCCATCTTCTGTGTGAGGACTGCTTTATTATGTGAAATGTAGAGTATTAAAGTGATGACAAATTGGATTATAATAGCAAATGCTCAGTGGCAGCGCTCATTTATCACTGTTTCAGACTCTAGAATATGTAATTGCGGTGCAGTATAAGCAGGTGAATATTTCTCCTTTGGTGCCAGTGGCGAATTACAACTACAGTGCAAGTAGATTTATGTTAGCGATGATATGTCACTTGGATTACCTACGTGATATGGGCATATATGACTGGCTTTTCGGTTTCTCATGTTACAATTTGTGCCACTTGCGTACTACAGACAGGATTGCCAATGTTCCAATTCGCTACATAAACTAGCTCAGGAATAAGTTGTTAAACTAACCTTTTACAAATTGTATTATTGTGATTAATAGTGCATTTCATTTAACAGCATTGCCAATTATACGTTAAACCCGTTTTGTAGTTTATTATGCCAGGAAGGTAACCTGAGATGTGGAACGTTGGAGATTGACATTTTTATTATCGTATTTTTAGAAACTAATGCTAGCCGCACACTATCCGATTTTGCACTGTGCACAGCACGAACGCCCCGCACACTATCCGACCCGCTCCCGATCGATCGGGAGGCCACCGCACACTGCCCGACTCAAAGTTGACGCAAACCATGGCACTCTCGTGGCGTTCCCAGCGGATTTAGCGTGTACTAAGGGTCGGGAGTGTTTCCCATGGTTCGAATGCCATTCCATTCGAATGCGGTTCCCATGGCGCTGCTCTGTGATTGGTCAATTTTCTTCAGCGCACGCCGATCGGGTCGGATGGCCACGCACACTATCCGAGTCGCGTCGTAAGGCCCCGCACACTATCCGACCCGATCTGCTCCCGATTCAAAATTCGAATCGGGCCAAAATGACCTCCAGAGCCAATCTTAAGCCTCCCGATCCAAACCAGAACATCTCAAACCAATCGTAAGCCTTCAAATCACGCTCGGGTCGGATAGTGTGCGGCTAGCATAATGCTTTTCATGAATAGTTGGTTAGTAATTTATAATATCATAGAATAGGATTCCTAACTTTGTTAAACACATTAACTGAAATTTATTTTTTGTTAATATTACGCAATATTATTTTTAAATATATGTTAAGCAGTCCTAATATATATTTAAGAAATATGTTAATGTCGCGTTCACTTCTGATATATGCCAGTACCGTTCTTTATACTCCACGTAGCTTTTTAAGCAGCATGTATATATTATACTCTTGGACTGTCGTGCTTTTACAGTCAATTTGAGCGTATACATAACTCACTCTAGTCTACAAATGAGTGGTGAAGACCACAGGCACTTGGAACATCTCAATGAATTAATAAAAAAATAAAAAAAACACGAAATGTATTTACTACCAAATTATTAATGTTTCTCTACTCTATTTCGCCTATAATCACCTGTAAATGGCGGTCAAATGCTCATCTGCAACACACAGGTACACCGCACGCTAGCTGCTGCACACTGACACATAAATATTTATTTATTTATTTATATGTCAGTGTGCAGCAGCTAGCGTGCGGTGTACTTGTGTGTTGCAGATGAGCATTTGGACGGCATTTACAGGAAATTGTCGGCAATAATAGGTGAAAGAGAGTAGAGAAACATTAAGACTGGTAGTAAATCGATTTCGTATTTATTTGGCATTATATTTTATTGAAACGCTCCAACTGCCTGTGGTGAAGACGAGACCTCTAGTTGTCAATTACAAATTTATGAACGGCAAACTGTTCTGCGCAGTCAAAATAGCGGCGCACGGTTCCTGGTATTCACTGATATTATTTCCAACACAGTTGGAGATGGCTCTAGCGTTAGTCTTGCTTGGTTTGCGAGTTAGCAAGTTAGTCTTGCGTTAGTCTGCATCAACAGCTATGAGCTAGCTTATAATTTGACCTGGTGTGTTTGTCATGGAGATGGTCTTTCGCATTTACTGGTCTCGACATTATAAACATGTATTGCGAAGTGAACATTTTCTTATTTTGTGTGTGTATAGAAATGGAGTATGGGTGGTGCCTAGTTAAACCCACGTAGCACGATCACATCAGTATTCGATGGGTGTCATTCGTCATGGGTGTCATGGGGTTCATTGGTCATTGATGGTGGTAGCAATGGTTCGCGTAATTATAAAAGGTCGGGTCGGTTTTGTATTATCAATAATTTTCTGACCGATGCTCCATCGCAAATAAATGCACCGTTAAGGCCCCCGCACACGCTAGGAATTCGGCGCGCGCCAACGGCACTGAGCTAAACGCGCGCGCCTTTTGCTCACGTAAACCAGCCCGCACACGCTGAGAATTTGGCGCAGCCCCGAATTCTCACCGTGTGCGAGGGCCTTTAAGTTCGAACATGGCGAATGTGTAGTTTTATATCCGAGTGATAATTTGGTTTAGTTTAGCGGTGAGATATTGTTTTCATTGCCTTATTGAAATGTATTTAGCAAGTTTCTGTAGTGCATGCTATAAGGTTATCTAGTGATACGCGACGAGTACCCGTCTATAAATCTACTGAACCCTGGAGTCAGTTTCTGCACGTTTAATTCTTGGCTAGTTCAAGACCTGATCTAAGGGCAGTGGAACCGCATTGTAAAGTTCTTGGGAAAAGTGGAATTTTCCACCTTGAAGAAATTAAATGGACACTTGAAAAATGTCTCAACCCTAGGTATATATATTTCGAGCAGCTAGACAGACAGCGGGTTGGTTATCACTGCTAGTCGATGGTTTGATTGAAACCTTACTTGCTGTCCTGTTCAAATATAATGAATATGAAACGGCGATATGATTGCAACACACAAGAAGGCAGAGGAAACTGCACGATAACGTAACGACATGACAGTCTCGCACTGCATTCATCGGATTTTTAAGATAATATTAAAAGCATTTTTTTTATTTTGTTGTGAAGCCATGTAATTAACCTGTTAGCAGCAGTATCGAAGCCGAAAATTGTTGCTAGCAGGTTAATTACGTGGATTTGTCATAAAATAATGTTACTGTGCTGTGGTCCATCAATCATAACCCCGCGAGCAAAGACTTCCATGAATTGCTGCCATGTGATTCTTCTGGGTGTTCGTGATAAATGCGATACGTAAATGTGTGCAATTTGTAAACAAGCGAGCTGCAATCGACAGTTAAAAATGTAAAATTGTAAATAGCTAGTGAATCCAAATAACAGCCGACTGTTACTATGTTTGTGTTTCCATAACGACGTGTTCAGTGTTTTATTTATGTTTTGTTTGGATGTATGTCATAAAACTGCATACTTCGTACTTAAAGGCACTCCATCCCCTAGCTATAACGCGTTCATTCCAAACGAGAATAGTTCAGGTGGTTCGCATATATGCAAGGAAGCGTAAATACGACATAATATATGATCCGAGTAAGACAACCGAGTGTATGAACAACAATATACTAGCGATATATCTAAGCTGTAACTAGGGTAAACGGGGATCAGTTCAGACGTGACAACCTCACAAAAGTAGTCTCGTGTAAGAGCGGTAGTGATCGTGTTCGTACTATTGCGCAGTGAGTCACAATCATTGACAAACTATCATCGATATCTTTTATGCCACATTTTTTTGTAGCAGGCAATTTATCACATCTCACACGCACGCACGCACGCACACGCGCACCACCCCAAACCTTCTTT